AATACATGTTAACTGTAAAATTTCCAAAACATGTAAAAAAAATCTAATTCGTTCATGATATATCAGTCTCATAATCAATATAAATTTATTAAAAAGAATACGAGCTCACAGGACGCCGAACACCACAGGTCGGATCAATACAATTCCAGTAAACTAGTATCAACAGTCTCTCGGATTGAGCCTGGCAATTTCACTATGTTGATACTCAGAACCAATTCCCTGATTTAAAGAAAAACCAAACAAGAAGATAAAAAATAGCTTAGGACCCTCTTTCACTTCTATTTTGATGGACTGAATATCTTTCATAAGGAGTACTAAAAGTTTTGATTAAGAAGAAAGAAAGAAAATTATATAGTTTTGGTTCAAAACTAACACTGAATATCCATATCATTGACATGTAGTTCCAGAAACAAAAAAATTCAACAAAAAAACACAAAATGCGAGCTGAAAATGGGAAATTCAACACATCCACATAATTCAAAGTTAGATTATAATTTCCCATGCATCCCCGACTGAAAAGTTACGGTGGAAATGAGAAGAGATAAGCGAAAAAGGAAATTTGAGATCGAAAAGGAATTTAGGGTTTAGAATGAAATTAAGGATTGTGTTGTAAGTTTTAAAAGTTGGGGACCTAAAAGCAAGCACCTTAAAAGTTCAGTGACCATATTGCAAACGTACTAACGTTAGTGTTCTGTATTGTAAGTTTTAAAAGTTGGGGGACCTAAATGAAAGCTTTAGAAAAGTTCAGTGACCATTACTATACTTTACCAAAAATCTCATTATACTAAAATCATTACACATTACTTAAGTTGGGTTGTCAACTTGATCAGCTTGTTGAGCCAGCCCATAGTGGGAGCATAATGATATAACACGAACCATAAACACTTCAACAAATGTCGCATACATCTGTATATCGGCGTTTGAATATTAATTCTGAGAAACAACTATTATAGTAACATCGTCATCATTGGAGAGTTCAAACATTGTATAATTAACGGAAATACTGCGGTTTGGAAATCTATCTTAAGTGAGGATAATCATCTAGTACTTCCAACATGAATCTTCCTTGAAATTTTAGTGATCATATCCTCAAGAGTGATGTTTCTGTTAAAGGATATTCTGATAGAATGATTTGATGCGAAGACGACGCCGGTTTCATCTTCCCGAATTTCTTCATCATAGTAAACAATAACTGAAATACACGTCATTTTGAGACTTTGAAAGATCGAGAGTCTTATATGTGAAATACAACTAATAAAATAAATAGTATATGAATTATAATATAAACTAATCCAAAAAAATTAAAAAGTTTCACAATAATTTAAATAACACAATTTCATATTGTTATCGTATCGGTAAAATGTCTCGAGGTATGATCCCGCTTTCTAATTTTATAAACGTAAAAAATAATATAAGATAATTAGTACAATAAAATTTGTTCAAATAATTAAATATAAAAAATATAATATAATCATTTTACCTTATAAAAAGAATAACAAAATCTACTTGATAGGAGGAATTGATAGAAGTGAGAATAAGTAAATAATTTTGATGTGGTGATATTTACATTTAAAGGGGCTGTTATTTATAGGGGAAAGGATCGTTTAAAAGCCGAGTTTTCAGTCTCGGGTAATAATTGAGTACCAATAATTCAACATGCATAATGTAAGGCACGGATCATGATCCGCGCCTTTGGTACGTGTCATAACCCCGCCATCCGCGCCTTCCCCTTACGAGGCGCCAACTCGGACAGAACCCTGTGAAGGCGCGGATGACGATCCGCACTTTACTACCACCTTGTCAGAAAGAACATGTAATTATTACGTGTAAGGGTGATATTTCGGTAAAAGATCAGTTTATAATATCTCTATTGAATAAAAATAACACTTATTTATTTATTTAATATGTGAATATATATATATATACACATAATTTAAAATTAAGCAAACCTATTTTTTACTAAACGTGCACTAATATTAATACTAATTAAATGAAAATAAGTGAAAAGATTTGAATTAAAAGGATTAAAATTTTTAAATAAAAGTTGGAATTTAGATCCGGGTAAAAATGCTTGTTTACAAAACTAAATGTATATGATCTACATGTAGTAGGGAAAAGTTGTAATGTGTTACCTGGGCTCCCAAATAACTTCAAACACCTTTTTGTTCAACCAAAGATCAACTTTTCCTTTCTTTGCTACTGGGAGGTTCACACAACTCTTCTATTAAACATGAGCCACCAAAAACATTTACAACACTAAAATGCTGAATACAAGTTGCTAAATAACAACTAATTACATGAAAATCAAGTAGAAATCATGGGAGGAAGCTCTTGGAGCTTAAACCCTCTCAAAACCCTATATAAACTCATTGTCACCATTGAAGATGATGGTAAGCTCATTTGGAGCTCATGATCCATAAATTATGATTATTACCTTGAAATCTCGTTTTGAAGAAGGAAATTGAAGGAAGATGAAGCCTTTGTCAAGTGCTTGCTAAGGGAGAAGAGAGAAGAAATATTATGAAATAGATGAAATGAAAAAGGTTAAGGGAATAATGAGGAACATAGGAAGGAAAAAGACTATTTTTCCTACAAAGTCCATGCCAAATCAACAGAGAATACCCTTTAGGTCAGCTATGTTTTTTCTCAATAAGAAAAGTACACACTAAGTCCTTATCCTTTCATCTTAAGCTTAATTTTTTTATTATTAAATTAGGTCATTTTTTATCAAATTAAACTCAAATTCGACCTAAGGAACCCCTATACTACAATTAACTTTTTCAAATAAATTTTGGATCAACGCTTAAATGTTGACGCAAAATTTTGATTCGTTACACCACCTAAATAATGGTTTGTTGTTGATAAGATTAAATGGATTATGACAATTATTGGCAATTCACCCATTTTTTATTTGAATAGAAAGTCGTAGCCGATTGTAGATGGTTGTTGGCCGATGTCTAAGTTCTTTGTCTCAACGAGGAGGTAAAACATAGAAGAGTTAATGTGAGATGATTTCATAAAGGTTTCATCCCATCTCTTAATCATGCTCGACAAATTTTATAATGGGTCTTTAGTGCTTGTGTTAGTTGTAGTGTCAGAATGGTCACATATAGGCTAGCATGTTAAATGGATACAATTATGTGGTAGTGGATTTTGTTCTGATAAGTCACGTGAGCTTGTCAGAAGTCATATCAAATAATTGTAGCTTCTTGAAGGATGTTAGCTATTCGAGATTCTTTTTTTCGGAGAGATTCTCTCTATGTTTTCCAGAGTTTCCTTAGGTGGTTGCAAGACAAATATGGTGTGCGAAAACTCTTTAGCGTTAGTATAACACTTGTCCCTCCTTAGTCAAAGAAATTCTATAAAATGACTCCCAAAACTTATCGTTTAAAGCGTTACAAGGCTTTAATGGTCATTTTTGGGAAAATGTCATAATTATTATTTATCGAATAATTCAGTGATTTAGATGTGTAGCATTGTATTTGGAACACTATAATGACGCGTTGTTTCAAACGTTGGAGACATATCTTTATGGGATACGTGCACGTGTCGTCGTGCAATTGGCGAGGCTTTGAAGGTGCGTATTATGATCGTTGAGAGTAGGCTGTAAATGAGACGAGACAGATCGTGAGCTATTCGAGATCGACTCGATCAAGGCTCGATAAATACTCGGATCGAATGGACTCGACTCGAGCTCGACTCGAGTTCTTAACGAGCTGAAACGAGCTACTCGATATTCGACTCGAAAAGCTCGTGAGCAGCTCGAAAATATAATATATTAAGATTTTATTTAAAAAAATAAATTAATAATAATATTAATATTTATGTATTGATTTTTTAAAAAAAATACAGTAAGATTTCATGTATTTAAGGTTCATGTTCGAGTTTGAGGCTTTAATCGAGTTAAGTTTAAGATTTTTTTTTCATTTCGAGCCTTTTCGAGCTGCTCACGAGCTTCAGTTCAGGATTTCGAGTTCGAGTCGAGCTTGAAAATTTTAAGCTCGCGAGTTTTCGAGTCGAGTCGAGCTCCATTTCAGAGTTTTCGATTCGAGTCGAGTCGAGCTCAACAATACTCGAGCTCGACTCGGCTCGTTTACACCCCTAGTTGAGAGACCACAACTATTATCTTATTTATTGGGTAAATTAGGGTACATTTTAACATTCATTTCTTTGTTTTGGTGCACCATCTTTATTGTGTTGAAGTTTTTGAGAAAGTTCATTTGCGGACGTAATAGAGATGGTTATTACCTTGAAAAGTAAAAGAGTTCGAACTATTGATATAATATATAGGTATCAGAGGAGGGCTCTGGTTGCAACGATGGAAAGATTCTCTCATACTAATAACGATGTCCGAGAGTCGACCATTGAGGCCTTGGTAGAATCCCTAATTTTAGGAGATTAGGGAAATGAGCGTGAAAGCAGTTTGGTTTGCATATCTTGAGAGATGAGGAAGCGAAACCTCCAGTGTTTTGAGGGTTTTTTCGAGAGAGGTCTGTCATTCGACTTCTGTAATCATACTAGAGAAACCTAAAAAGATTTTAAGAAATATTGTGAACCTTATATTTTGAACGAGACTGACTAATATAAATTCTTTTTCGAATCCCGACGTATGGATTTCCGCAAGAGATGACGTTATTATTGATTCATATGATTGTATTGATAATCCTCCTATTTAACTTTTGTATCCGTTGTTATAGTGATAAATATTTTGTACCCCATGCAATTGCAAATATCAAACTATCAAAAGGGAAGAAGAGAGGCAAAACGAAACCAATCCGAACTGAAATCGTACCCCCTTTTATTTGGGGCATTAATGGGCTGAGGCCCTATCCAGCCAAAATCCAAAGCTTCCCCCCTGGGGAAAGATATATATAGGCATAGCAAAATAATATCTTATCTACAATGTCGACGGCACAGATTTCATAACGTGTAATCCGAAGTACGGGCGGCAAGATGGCCAAGCCAAGCAGGTATCTTTACCTCCCATATAAATCATCTAATGCAAGCTCTTCTTAAACCCTCTTTTCCTCTATCTTCCTGGCTTTGCAGAAACAGGGGCTAAAAAGATAAGAAGCCATGTTGCAGCATCTGCTTCATCTCTCATGCTCCCATCTCTCGGACCCAAAACCTTATCTTTATCAAACTCAAAATCCATTTCACTTTCCCCCTCTTCTCTTTACCACGGGCTCCATTCAAAGCCTCTCTTTTATTCTCCTGTTCGAAGTTTTGTGCTTTTAACAAAAAAGTCTTTATCTTCTTCTAAGTTTGTTAGAAACGTTTCCGTTTCATCTGAATATGGTCATGGAGCGGGTTTATTGGGTAGTGATGACGAAGAGGCTACTAGTTTCTCCCCTGACTTGAAACTTTTTGTGGGTAATCTTCCTTTTAGTGTGGATAGTGCTCAGCTTGCCGGTTTGTTTGGAAGTGCTGGAAATGTTCAGATGGTTGAGGTACTTTCGTTGTTTTCTTTGTTTATACTAGAAATTCTCCAAGTTTATGTTTATTCATGTGCGACTTGCTTAATTTTCATCATGTTTCTGAATTGGTTGCTGAATGTTGAGCAAATTCAAGACTTTTCATGATATAATTAAAGCAGTATGTACTTTATTGCTGATATGTTAAATTATATTGTGCAAGAATTTTCCATTTTTTTTCAAATTCATTTCGAGATGAATATTGAATAATGAAAAGACATTTAGCCAGTTGAAGGACCATTGCATAAAATTGGTGATTTAATTGAGCATTCATTTGGATTGAAGGAGATATGGACCTTGTTGCATCACTTTAATCACTTGGGAAGTTAAGAAAGTAGATGCTCATTCGGTTTTGATGTGTTGAAATTATTTCTCTTGACAGGTGATTTATGACAAAGTAACTGGGAGAAGTAGGGGTTTTGGTTTTGTAACCATGTCTACAACTGAGGAAGTTGAAGCTGCTGCTCAGCAGTTCAATGGCTATGTAAGTCGTTTTTTGGGATCATAAAGTATGTTGAAAATGTAATTGCTTCGTTTACATGTTACTTAAATGAATGTGATTATCCTCTTCTGGTTTAGAGTACCTATCGATGATCCATCTGCATATATGTCATCTCTATAAGAGTTTTGAAGGTTGACATTTATGTTCTGGCCTTGGAACCTACTGTTGCAAATGAATTTGCAGCATAGAGGATGGGAAAATGAGTGTGCTTGAATTTTAATGTATTATCGAAATACTCCAGCAGCATTAAATTTGTACCCAGGTTATCATGGAATGTTCTTCTGTTTGTACTTACTGATTGCAGGAATTAGATGGGAGGGCATTGAGGGTCAACTCTGGACCACCGCCTCCTCGTAGGGAAGAATTTTCTCCGAGAGGGGCAAGAGGAGCTGCTACGATGGACACTTTGAATCGTGTATATGTTGGTAACCTTTCATGGGGTGTTGATGATTTAGCACTGGAGACCTTGTTTAGTGAGCAAGGCAAGGTTTTGGAAGCGAAAGTTGTATATGACAGGGAAAGTGGTAGATCGAGGGGTTTCGGATTTGTAACTTACAATTCTTCTGAAGAGGTGGACGGTGCCATTAAAACATTTGATGGAGTTGTAAGTTCATTCAGCTAATTTATGCTTTCTGTATCATTTGTTGGCTTTAACATGCTTGATTTTGTACAAAACAGCTACTTCTAGGCATCTAATAACATCATTAATGACTGTGACTCAAAACTTTTTTGATGTAGGAATTGGATGGCAGACCACTTCGAGTATCCGTGGCTGAGGCTAAGCCAAGGCGTCAGTTTTGAGTGTCACTGTTATGTACAGGTACTACTAATGCTGCAACTTTCCATCCTAAATCTTCCTATTTTTACATTTCATCCATGTACTTGGGGATCTTTAATTTTCAAAGTTCATTTTTTTTAATTTTGTTAAATGTGACTTTGATTAGGTTGCATTTATAAAAGTTGCTTTTTTTTAGATACACTGAAAACATGCAGCTGGAAGCCGGCAGCTGCTTCCTCTTTCACTCTGGGGAATCTGCAAACATGCTTCGTGTACCAGCTGCATTTGGATAGTAGGGTAATCTGTTATTTCTGACGCCGGTGCTTCGATTAGAAAGAGCCGATAACGAACTGATGATGTATTCATTGAAATATTTTGGTTATATGTTCAAAAGTATGATGAATTGAGTGAATGGCATGTGTGGCTTTATTTTGTTTATTCGAAGTGTGGGATTTGCAGGGCATAAATATGATATTGAAATATTTTGGTTATACGTTCGTTTTAGTTAGTTATGGTGATGCCAGGTTCATCCTTATTGTTATTATTATTATTTTAAAATTTATAATATTTCTAAACCATTTGCAATTTACATACATATTGTACTATTAAAATTTTAAATTTAAAAATATTTTAAAGTATTAAGAAAATGAATACTTTCATCTAAAATGATTTTATCTCTTAGTAGCATATGTTATTATTCTTTAAACATATTTTTAACGGAATCAATTTTACATTGAGGTGCGTTTGGTTCACGTAATGTAAGATTATCAGTTAGAATTAAAGATTATCAGGGAATAGGATTATTGGAAATATTGTATTTTGTGTTTGGTTGGTTTAGCAGGAATGTAAGATTATTCTGTTTGATTAAAATAATAAAAGATTGTTAGAATGTATATTTGACAAATTGTCCTTATTATATATTTGTTTTTTTAACAAGTTGGAAAATATCTATATATTTTCTTTAAAAATTAAAATTCATAAAATTTATATAATTTTTTTTACAAAATTAACAATATAAAAAGGTTTAATGAAAGGGTAAAAATTTTATTTTAATACCTGAACTTTATATAAAATTTTAATTATAGACTTTTTTTGTAAATCTAAAATAGTTTAAGGATAAATTTGTAATTTAACATTCGTAGAATTTTTATTATTCAATAACAGAATAAAGATATTTTTGAATTTTTTTTAAGGGCATTTTAGTCTAAAATGCCGGTAATCCAATAATACCTAACGAAAGGGAGATAATGACATTCCTGATAATATACCCCAAAAAATCCACTATTGGTAATGTAAGATTACCGGGAATGACATTCTCGGCCAACCAAACGAACCAAACACACCCTAAAGGAATGATAACTTTTGAAGATATTTCTATAGTTTAAAAATGATGTAATAGCACAAATCAACTTAGCTCGGTGATTAAAGAATTATTATTATTCTTAGAAATCATGAGTTTGAACACAAGCTATTGTAAAGGTGATTGAACATCCATTGTCAAATGGTTAAAAATATTTAGAACATATATTATTTTGTATCATTTTAATTTTATTATATCAAAAAAAATCAATACAAATATTTAAATATTTAATATTTTAAATAATTTATTTAGGTCAATAACAATTTCCATTGATCAAATGATGACATGAATTGATGTTTGGGTTTAATAGCTTAATTAGGTAAAAGAAATTAAAATCCAACTTAAAATATAAAACATAAACGGTTATTTACTTTTTAACGATTGTGGACAGGTATGATGGGGTCGTATTGTATACCGAGTGTGACTGTAAATGCAAACGGGGTTAGCTTTCCCAAGGCATATTCTTGACTTTGAAGTTTATTATTTATTCGATTTCAGTAGTTAAAGAAAATGTTGTTTTTTTGGAGGTTTTAGGTTCAAGTAATTGCATCTACAGGATATGTGTATTATCAAAAATTAAAAAAAAGATTCTAAACAGATATTACCTTATAATTACTTCATACTATTAAAAAAAATCTATAACGTTCGACGAGCACCACTAATGATGAGCATCATTAATTTAATTTATAAAATTTTAAAATTTGAAAGTACTGATATATAATTATAAATTATTTAAAAATCTAAAGATAAATTATTTAAAATAAAATATTAATTACATCATTTGTATATTTTTTTGGGTAAACTATATCATTGACCACTTGCCCCTTTTTATTATGACCACCATTTTTGAAATTTTGTCAATATGGTCACCTTACTATTTAAATGCATTCAATCAAGTCACTTGTCGTTAGCATTGAACGGAAGAGCTGACGTGACAATTAATAGAATTGATATAATTACATATTTAATCCTTATTTCTTACATAATCTATCAAATTGGTCATAATTTTATTTAATTTAAAATCCTCCAATTATACGACATTAGGTGTAATGACATCATTGGAGGATTTTTTTAAAATTTAATTTAATAATTTTTCTCCAATCAAATGGTGACACGTGGGATGATGGAAGGAAAATAAATTGAATCAAAGAAGCCGGAGAGAGTCAAACATAGGTCTCCAAAGTAAAATAAACATGCCTCTACCACTGCGCCAAGACTAGTATTTAGTAAAAATATACAACATTTGTTACGCATCTTATACTATAATGAATGCCAGAAAAAGGAAAAAAAAAGTATCAATAAAAGGACTCAAACCTTGGTTTATTACTAATGATAGGCACAGGGCAAGGCAGTCCCATTTTTTTGGCCACCTTGTCTCGACCAGAAAATATATTGTTTATACTCTACTCCTCCCCGATTTTATTCGAATATATAATTTTTTAAAATAGTTAAAATAATATATTAATAATCATTTTAAATATTTTAAATGGTTAAATTAATATATTTTACCTTAAACCCAACTGACTTGATTCAAATATATATAAACGAGTAAATTAATAATTTATACTAGATTGAGTCGGGTCGATATTTTTCACCTTAAATCCAACCCATCCTGACCAAAGCTATCTATTATATAACCCGCTCCGCCTCACCCCGGACCCAAAATTTCAAAAATATCGATCCAAGGATGATAATTCAATACAAGCAGGTTATATAATAAATAGCTTTGGAGCGAGACGAATCGGGTTTAAGGTGAAAAATTATCAACCTGATCCAACCCAGTATAAAGTTTATCCTTTTATATATATATTTGAATCGAGTCGGGTTTAAGATAAAATATATTATTTAATCATTTAAAATATAATAAATAAATATATTATTTTAACTATTTTAAAATATTAATATATACGAATTGGGTCGTACATGATTGAATGTAAATAATATATTTTCGATTTGGGGTCGAGGCGGCAAAAAAAACTGACCTGCCCTGCCCTGTCTCTATCCCTAGTAATTGGCTTTTTTTTTGTTACTTTTGTTTTTATTTTTTCTGGCCTTCATTGTAGTATAAGATAAATAAAAAATGTTGTAAATATTAAGAACTAGTGCTAGTGTAGTAGTAGAAGTTGCATAATCCACTTTAGAAACCATGTTCAATTATCCCCAACAGCTTCTAAATTCAATTTATTTTTCTTCCATCATATGTTGTCATGTGTCACCATCTAATTGGAGGTAAATTTATTAAAATTAAATATAAATTAAATTGAAAAAGCCCTCCAACAATGTCATGACACATGTCGTTATATGATTAGAGGATTAAATATATTAAATTAAATAAAATTATGACCAATTTGATAGACTGTGTAAGGAATAATGGCTAAATGTGTAATTATATCAATTTTATTAGCTGTCACGTCAGCTCTTCCCTTAAACGTTAGCAGCGAGTGGCTTGATTGAATGTATTTTAATAGTTGGGTGACATGATTAACAAAATTTTAAAAATTATGGTCAAAATGAAAAGATACATTAGTTAGGTGGTCAATGATATAGTTTACCCAAAAATTTATGAAAAATAATGTATTTAATATTTTATTTTAAATAATTTACTTTTAGATTTTTAACTAATTTATAATTATATATTAAATCTTTTAAAATTTTAAATTTTTATAAATTAAATTAATGATGTCCGCCCTATAAAAAAAATCATTATTCATTTAACCTTATTTCATGCAGGCTTGAAATGATCTCCACATGGGATTGCCCTCAACTGCTCATCATGTTTTTTCAAGCACGAAGACGAGGAATCCTAGAAAATAGGCATTTGAATTCTTGCATGAATTAAGCAGGGAATTCAACTGAAGGAAGTAGTAAGAAAAAGGCTAATCATGAAAAAGAATGATGATTGGGGTCAGTTAAGCCATGCAATTAAATTATAAATTTTATCAATATTTATTTTTAACACTAAAGTTCAAAAACACTAGATTTAATTATTAAACATCTGAATTACTTTTTTTTATCAGTTATTCAATTAAATTAAAAAACACTCAGTTTAATTATTAAGTTTTTGAATTACTTTTTTATCAGTTACTCAATTATTGAATAGTTAACAATAGTATGATATGATAGAAGAAATCAAAACGACATTATTTCATATTCATATAAAATTTAAAATTCTCCATTTTCTTCATTTCCTCGCTTTTCCTCTTTTTTTTCTTCATGTTTTTTTATGTTTAACGGTTTAGTTATTATAGTTTATGATTTAGGGGCAGCTAGCATCATCCAATATTTATAATTTTTGCACGAATCAAATGACTGAATTGGTCAAGGGATTTATTATTATTACTTATGATTTCAGGTTTGAACACAGTGTATGCACGAGTATAAACGCTCATTGTCAAAATGTTGAGAGTCTTTGAGCAGATACGACCTTGTATTCAATCCAGATTTATCAACAAAAAAAAAGTTTTTTTTTTCATTTGAGTTCTTGTCATATAATATATGACTTTAATTTTACTTCCCTTCAGCTTTGGAAAGCAGAAATACACCGGTAAGAAAACTTCTACAAGAAGCAATGACCCCCGTGGGGATTGAAGCATGATAATTGATTTTCACCTCTGGTGTAGATGCATTTCTGTTATATTAATCATGTTTTTTTAATTAAAAAGATAAATGATTTAAGTATAAATGTATTGGAATTGAAACTGAAATTTTATAAGGGATACATTATGAATAAGTATTTCAAATTTTTAATATTTTTTATAAATACAATTTATTTAGTATTATATTCCGATGTGTTATATTAGTAGTGTATTTTGATATACGACATTCACTCTAGAATTTTTCATAGATCTAGAATAGGATAATAATTTCATCATTAATAAAAATTATTTTTTAAAACTCATGTCTATAGTGTATATGACATTTCTTAAATAATATAATAATATTTAAACCGCTCTTAAACGAATATTATTAAATATTATTTTGTTTTCATTCGTTTAATTTAAAATTAAAGTCCCAAAAATCGGTTCCTTCTCTTTTACACATCAACCAAATCTT